CTTTTTTCCCTTTTTTCTTTTTTCCCTTTTTTCTTTTTTCCCTTTTTTCTTTTTTCCCTTTTTTCTTTTTTCCCTTTTTTCTTTTTTCCCTTTTTTCTTTTTTCCCTTTTTTCTTTTTTCCCTTTTTTCTTTTTTCCCTTTTTTCTTTTTTCCCTTTTTTCTTTTTTCCCTTTTTCCCATTTTTTCCCTTTTTTCTTTTTCCCCTTTTTCCCATTTTTTCCCCTTTTCCCCATTTTTTCCCCTTTTCCCCATTTTTTCCCCCTTCTCCCCCACCCTTTTTTTCCCCTTTCCTCATGGAACACCTTGAAACATACTCCCCCCCCCCAAAAAAACACCACGTTTTGGGCTGTGACTGCAAGAGAGGGCAGCACCATCAGCCTCTGCCAGCAGGGACCCTTCTGAGGCTACACAAGGAGCACAAGGAAGGCTGCCTGGGGAAAGCAGAACACGGAGGCTGCATTTTGTCTCTGTTAGTTTTATATATATATATATTAAGCTTTGCATATTTTTTTCTTAAAGCATCCTTGGAAAGGAGCCTCTTCGTCTTTATACGAAGTCAAGTGCATTATATAGTTTTGCCCAGCACAATGCCAACCTGTGGCTCACAGGCATGTTATATAATATTAACAATTTCCTAATCTTTTTTTCCTCTTTCTAATTTGAGCGAGCAGGAGATGCTCCCAGGACAATGGGGAGCGGTGGCATCCGCAGGGACAGGCAGCGAACAGAACATCACTCTAACACCGGAGTGTGTTGAACGGGCAGTAGCACGTGTGCCTGCTTCTGTGCTTGCAAACTCAGCCTTAAAAAATGGTTAAAAAAAACACAAGACAGGCCTTCCTCCAGCAACACTTTACTAATTTTTTTTTTTACAGGCACACCGGAGGAGGTGAAAATAAAGACAAAAAGGTGGGGATAAGAGGTGTGAAGAAAAAGGCCCTTTAAAAAAAATGCTATGTTACTGACAAAGATGCCTGTTTACACCCCAGCAAAATACTGATGCCAAAGGTATTAAAATCATGTAAAAAGGTTCTGCTGAGAGAACACATTTGTAATTATAAGCAATGCTACTAGTGCTGAGAAACATGTATTGTGGCAGATTTTTATACCGCAACCTCGCACTGTTTTGCTTCCCGGCATGCCCCAATGACTGAGCCCATATGAGGCTCTAGGTCATCAGGGTTTTACCAGTTTTAGCTGTAAGGGCCAAAACATAAAGGAGCCTGCAACCCTCAATTAGCGATATGTTTTTAAAACTTTCTGATGTTGAAAGTGATTGTTTGGGGTGAGAGAAATATGTTGCCGTATGTGATCTTTCATGCCAAACTTGCAACTAGAGCAGATCTTTATAGGCAAGCAATAAATCCCTGAAATGAAAGGTTTATGATGGAAATGCTGACAAACCCTTAGCTAACCCATTAAAAATGACAGTATTACAATTCAGTAGCTATAAGCTAAATTAGCAGCAGCATGGGTAGCCTTCAAGTACTGGAAGTGCAAGCCAAGTGCGTCCTGCAGACCTTGCCGGTACGAGGATACGTAGTGGAACTATCGGTGCTTAATTTGACTTATAATCTCTCTAATGAGTGGTTGGTAGGCTAGCTTGCTTGTAAGGGCAAAATGAGTGCTATTCCTTTGATATTCATGAAGAATTTTTTTGGATGGCCATTCGAAGAACATCCATCAAGTAAGAACAAGAACCCAGTTGTTTTAATGCATTTTTCCTATAGAGGGTGGAGTCCTTTTTCTTTGCTGTGCTACAAAGCATTCTGCTTGCCCCCTCGCTGGCTGCCGGACAAAGTCCTGCATTCCAGGGCATTTTTTTTCATTCGCAGGGGCTGGGGCAGCACAGCAAAACCCAGAATCATGTGGTGAACTGCTGAAATCCACCAAGTAAAATCTATATTTTAATTGTTTTTGAGGGGGAGGGTTGTTGCTGTGTTGTTTTGTTTTGTTCCTTTCTGAGTTTGTTGTTGTTGTTCAGTTGTTTGTTTGTTTGTTTTGCATCATCTCTGTTCCCCCCTACTCTATAGGCATGCAAGGCAACTTGAGTATTACTGCAGTACTGCCTACACTCTTCACCAAAATTAGGGCGCTCCGGTGCAGTATGCTGCCAATGCTGCGTAAAATTTTCTCCAGGCTTAGTTTAGTCTGAGCCCGGAACCTGCAAAGACTTGTCCGTGTGTCATGTGCTGTGCGGTAATTCATATGCATAGGGTTTGACTCTGTATAAAGTTCATCTCGTGGACAAGTCCTGGCAGGAGAAGGTGGGATGGAGACGGTCGGATGCCGAGATTTGGGCTGCAGAGCAGCTAAGGTGCTACCCTGGAGCTCCTGATCTGCTCTGGGTGATTATAGAGAGCAGCCACCTTCTGTGGTGCCTGCAGTAAATCCATCCCTGGCCAAAACACAAATGATGATGTTGAAGTGTGACCTGGTAGAACTAGAACTAGTCTCAATAGACAAACTCCTGGGGGCTTCCATAGAAATGGCATCAAGCCCATGGCGCTGTGAATGGGTTGATATGTCAGCTTTGAATTAAGTGTTACTAGAAGACTTGTATTATCTCTGGTGTTAAACAAAGCAGCATTGACAGCAAGATTGCTCTGGTGAACGTGGTGCCCAGCCCTTATGTGAACTCTGTCTGAAGGCCTCTGCTTTTAGCTTCCCAGTGACAGATCATTTTCATTTTTAAATTCTAAGTTCTGTGGATAATATGACCAAATTTCTTATTTCCCTAGCTAGGATTTAGCCTGTTCCTCTTCATTAACAGGTTCAGGTCTCTGTTTCTCAAACCGTCTATTCTGGTCAAAAGCATTTCTGCAGTGTGGAAAAGGCCATTTGTCTTCCAAGCATTTTTAAAGTAATTTTTAAATGCAGCTTGAGTTGCTGGTTGCTGGTTTTGTTTACAATAAAACACTTTGATTAAGTTGTATAGCAGTTCATCAAGGCAAACATTGAAGGAGAACAGAAAAATCCTTTTTTGCATGGTTACGTATCTAAAAACCAAAAGCGATGGTGAGAATAGCTGGGTTCATTAGGCAAGCCTATATATTCGTATAATTAAATTCAGCGGGAGCATGACTTTAATCACTTTGTTGTGTCAATAAGTAGCGTCATGTCTGTGTACATACCTTTGCAATGACTTTCTATAAAGCAACTTACCGGTTTGTCTGCATGAAGTGTATACGTCAGAGCGTAGGAGATGTTAATTCTGTGTCACAGTGATAAAGCGTCAGAGGATCTGCTGCTTTTGTTTGCTTTGCTTTGTGGTCCCTTAACGTTCACTGTAGGGCATATCTTAAACACCTGTAGTGCTTATAGCAGGGTTGCTTTTGGTTCTGATCTCCATTTGCTGGTTCGAGTGTTTAAGAATGCATAAAAGTTTCAAGCAATCATTTAACTAAAGCGTATCGTGTGAGCTGCCTGAAAGCAAAGCAGCTCCAAGGAATGAAAAGAAAGTTAGATTTATGATTAAACTATAAGGCTGAATGAAGAATCTGGCTTCTAAATCTGTCAGTAATTTTTTCCTATAATGTTTGCTACCCGTATATAGTCACTCAAAGGGGCATACATACCTATGGTCTGTTTATTCCTGCTTCATTGCTATGCTAAGAATGAACTTGCTGCACGGAAATTTGATAAACATGCTGTGGCTGCAGGATGCCACTGAAAAACCTAATCACATTTGCAAACATTCACACTCAAATACATACTTGTTTTAAATATGGAGGCTTCATTTTCAGTGTTCGCTTTGACCAGGGTGCTTGGAAGGCATGCGATGTCGTGTGGCACTTCTGCCCAGTAAATATACGATTAGAAGCTTCAATTTGTGTTGGCTAGAATGATTGCTTGTGAATAATCAACAGGCCAAAAAATAATTCCAGCAATCTGTTCACACACAGTGGCAATCTTAGAGGAATGCTGTGTCTTTGAAATGTTCCCACTCTCCGCTTGCATGACTATTGTCAAGTCTCTTTATCTCTTTGTCTTTCAATTTCTTACATCTCAGTGGGAAGGAATATGTTTTTCCTTAGCTCATATCCCATCATTAAGGATTCTTATGTTGCTGTTTAGAAAACACAGATCCTGGGCTAGCACATGCTGTTCACATGTATAGGCTATAACTGCTAAGGCATATACGGTGTGAAACAGAAAGGAGCAAAATTGGTATCTGAAACACCTCTGAGGTTCTTATACACTAAAGCCAGATATTTGTTCCCCAAATATCAGGTTTTACAGAATGTCACATGGTGTAAATGTGCTGTAACTATTGCCACTGTAAAGAGGACCTCTGAAGCTGTTGTGTATTTTGGATGACAGCTGTGTGCCGGGAAGTTCAGGAGTCACCATGCATGGGAAGCAGGATCTTCCAAAAACAATACAAATTACCAGTAAAAAATCAAGCTGAGCAAAGGAGCTTTGTTAGCTTCCAGAGGGCTGGGAGATGGGATGAGCTCCAATAGTACCTCTAAAGAATCATGGATGCCTGTTTCTGTTTCCTTTATTTACGGTTTCATTTTT